AGAGCTGGATTTTTCTCCTTTATGGGGCTGCGTTTTCTCTTGCCATTGGGATGGGGGTACTCATAGCACCCCAGGAGAGCCAGATCTTGCCTGCCATGGGCAGTGCTGTCTCTGCATGCCACAGGGATATTAGGTCTTGGGGGGGGAGCTGTGGGATGAGCCAGTTCTGGTCACAGAGATGGCAGTCTGGATGATTTCTTTTTCTAATCACTTGGATAGATTTTCTATAGGCTCTCTAGATTTTAGGGGGGTGCCTGGTTGGGGTATTCCCCCAGCTGGGTCAAGAAAAGTCTCTCAGCAGATTCCTGCCAAGATGGAGATTGGGATCAGCACCCAGTTCTGCTGAGGTGCCTGGGGAAATGCCATCTCACCAGAGCCCCATACATAACCATGTCCTGTGCTGTCCTGACACCACAGGACACTTGGGTCCACTCCTCTCTGGGTCCACACTGTGTCAATTTCCCCCAGTGCTAGAGAATTTCCTGCAATATAATACATAAATATACACACACATACACACAGATACCTGTTGTATGACCCTTGTTGCCTGTTGCTGGCTGGCACAGTGCTTGCATGCATGGGGAAGCATTTGAGATGCTGGTAATAACACATGTGTAGTTCAAAAGGATAGAAGGGCAACTCTTCTAAGTGTGTGAAGATGGAGTGGTCATTAGTACATGTTTATTGAAGTTTACCAACTCTGTAACAATGGGCTTCTCTTTGCCATTGGACTTAATTTGTCTGTAATTATGTTCCTAATATAGAAATCATTTGGCATTTATTTGCTGTAATAAAACTTCCCATTGCATTTAAACTCAATGCGAAGATTTAAGATATTTAGGAGACACAGCTGAAGACCTGAAATTAAATGACCCTGGCTTCCTTTTGCAAACAAGACAAACTCAAATAGCAGTCAGATGCATGCATGCAGATCTGTCAGCAGCAGCAGCAGCTGCATGTACACCCCCAGAGAGAGATGGCAGCCCTTGTGATGGGACAACTCCTTCAACATCTTCTCTTGACCTGCTCTGGCCCAGGGCACTGCTCCTGCGGCTGATGCTTGTGCTGCTTTGCATGCCTGAGCAGGGAAAATGCACAGGTGAAGGAAAAACTGCAGGTGTTAAGATCACCATCGGCTATCTTGGTTTTCTGTACTGGCTTTCAAAATGTTTGCCTTAATGGTTGTGGTAGTAGGATGTTGGCAACATGGCTCTTTCCAGCTGAGCTGGTGCTCAGGAGCAGCCCAGGCAGCAGACATAGGTCAGCACAGCTGGGCCAACCCAGACCAACCACATTGACCCAGTGACACCATCATCCCCAGCCCTGCCCTGTTTAAAGGAGACTGGGTGGGCAAACTTGCTGTATTTAATTTGCAGCTAAAAGAGCAGGCCTGGGAAACACATGCCATGTCTGCCTGCTGGTGGGTGAGCAGCTGCAGCTGTGGATGGGCTCCCAGCACTGATAAATGACAGATAAAAGCCAGGCAAAACACTGCCACCAACCCTCAACAGGGGTGGGGTGACGCTGCTCCTGACGTGGTTATTTTCTCCCTGGATATACCAAGCACCACAAGCACGCACCAGCAATAATTTTTTTTTTTCCATCCTTTCTCAGCACTCCTCCCAGTAGGCTTTAAATAGCAGGGACCAGATAATCATTAACCACTTTGACGTCTTGCAGTGGGTACAGATAGGGAATCCAGACAGAAAGGACAGAGCTGGGGCAGACCTGCACTACTGCTGCATCTCCAGCAGTATTATCCTCCTCAGGGTAAAGCCAGGCCAGCCTGGCTTTGCCCTTGCTGATCCTTGAGACAAGCTCCCATCACAGAAATAGGGAAGAATATTCTGTATAATTGCTTAGTATATTACTCTTTCTAGAAGTAGGGAAGAGTATTTCATGCATATGTTGAAATGGTTGTGGCTGAGGCAGACCAGTCTTCCCTTTTTGTTAACTCTGGTTTTTCCTAATTTAGGCTTGGATAGCAGAAAAAAATAAAAGGCAGGTGCCCTGACTCCAAAGCACACTTGAGTGTTTCAGAAGAACAAGATGGTAGTGAGCAAGCTGAGGAGGGAGCTTGCAGTTGGGGAGCATTTCTCCACTAGTTACTAGACAAAGGAAAAATGCTGCTTAGACTCATCCCAGTGATGGGATATGGCTCTGCAATGGGAATTTGCAAAAATAAATGTTGTGAAGTTGGGAAATAGGCCCTTCAAGGGGTTTTTAAAGAGCAGTCTCCAAAGGGAATTGGTGGGAATGCTGCTGTTTGAGCATGTTGTGCAGACCCATCCTCTGCCTGCAAACCTGCAAAAATGGGTGTTAGGGATTTAATTTCTATCTCTAATTGTTGTGATTTGTGTCTCACTTTGGGTTTGCTTTTGTGTTCCTGTAGCTTTTAGCAGCAGAGGACTCTACAGCAAAACCTTTCTGTGTATTACAGCCAATGGTCTGTTCCTGAGCTCTTTGTACAGCCAGCAGTGAGACTCTCTCGCCTTTGCTGTACAGAGGATTTATTCCTTTAATATGCCCCTGGTGTTTGTTTTTCTGCTGGTACAGGAGTGCATGTGCACGTGTGTGCATGTGGCAGTGTTTTACAAATGCCTGCTGTGGACAGAATTGGGCTTCACAGTATGCAAAAATAGCTGTGTGCCACATACAAGGATATAATATTTCAGACGGCTGGAGAAAATGTGATAAATTGAGTTTTTGCTAGATTTGCCAAAATCAAATTACTGGGGGATTCGTCTCCACAGCTGAATCCTGAGGTTGTAGGAGCTGGCAGGACTGTGTGTTTGAGCATCCCAGTTAGGGAGGGAGACTGAGTCCCCATGGTGCTGTAGGACATCTGTGAACATCTCCTGGCTCTGAAGAGAGAAGCTCAGGTTTCAGAGATTCATTTATTACAGAGCCCCAGAAGTCAGTGCGAGTCCAGGCTGTAGCTACAGCTTTCCCCTCTGCATTTGCCTGGAGGTTGTTGCTCTTAGTTCCATTCTGTTCCATTCCTGATCCCTCATCATCGATGCCTCCAGCTGCTCATTAGACAAAACCCAGGTCCTGCACTCACCATTTTGAGCCCTGTAAGAGACCCTGGTGTGCAGTGAGGTGGAAAGGCAGGGATGCTGCTGATCTGGGAGGTTTCTGTGTGACCTCCTTAGTGCTGGGGCTGCACTTGTGTGCTGAGGAGTGAAGCTGTTGAGAAAATAAGGCACCAGGGACTGAGATGAGAAGGGCAGAGGCACAAAGGTCCCTGTACCAGGCTGGCTCTTGGTGAGGAAGTGGTTTGGTGTGTGGGGAAGCAGAGGAGTTGTGCCAAGTCCTGGTCCCTCCCTTTTTGCATCCTGTCTGGCAGTACCTGCTCTTCTGGGCTCCTTCTAACACTGTTGATATCCCACCTCAGTCTCAGCCAAGGGCACAAACATACACAGCCAAACCTGAGCCCCTCAAATTGGACCTCACACGAGGAGTTTGAGTGCCAAATGTCAATGCTCATTTCCACTTTCTTCCATCTAATCCTTCCCTGCTTCCCTTCTTCTGGTTTGTCATGTCACCCCTTTCCAGGTGGAAAAGGTTCATGGAGCCTACAACCCTCCTTGCTCCCCTCTCCCTTTGTATCCCCTCCAATGTGTAATGAAAACCAGAAACAATTAGAGCCAAGGCTGGGTTTGTAACATAAACAGTTATTTACAGTTTTGCTAAAATTTCATTGAAGATGACATTTTTAGGTCACCTAGCTGAAACAAATGAAATGATGAACATGTTTGCATTAGGTTTTGTAAAAAGAAGTGTCACTCTTGGACAGTGTGGTCCTCAGTTCCTCAGGTCCTGAGACCTGATGTAGTGACCTCGAAGCTGAGACAGTTTCCCAGCAGGGTTAGCAAGAGCAGGATCTGATTCATAACCCAGTTGAAATGGATGTCTTTTACCATATCCAGCAGTGTCCAATGCCAGGGTCTGTTACCCTGGTGCTCCATCAGGCTAGTGGTGAGGCTTTTCTGGACTGTAAGAGCAAATATCATTTGCCCAATGCTGAAAGTATGATCCAGCCTTCTCTGTCCCATGCATATTCTTACTCTGCCTTTAAAAGCTTTTTAATCTTGGAGCACAGCTAAATTCACTACTGGAATCTATAGTATGGCTTTTAAACACTAAACAGTGAGGAGTAACATGCAATGGCTCTCTCCTAGCCTAAATAAGCAATGGCAAACAACTGTAAAGAGCTTCTGAGCTTGTGTGCAGAGAGGAATTTAGTCCCATGGTGAACAGGATGATAGCAGATAGATCAGAATAATATGGGTTTTTTGTGGGTACCCTGTTAAAAGCTACACCAGAAACAAGAGAGCGAGCCAGGAGGTTCAGTGTTTCGGCCACCACTCATAACTGTCTGGGTCACAAAGCAGGACACAATTTGTTCTCCACCTTGCTTGGCTTCTAGGGTGCAAATAGCCAGCCCTGTAGTTCACCAGTATGACTGTCTGGGGAAAGTGGACAGCGTGGGAGAGAAATTTGAGGATATTTTGCCTGCCGGGACTTGAGGAAGCTACCCTGATCTGAGCAGGACATCAGTCTGCAGCAGACGCTGTCTCACAGCTTATCACCACCACCAACCTCACTTTCTGAAAGAGGTAGCAGAAAGACAAAAACCTGAGCAACGAACCAGAGGCATCTGGTTGCCAATAGAGGTGTGTCCACTGGTTGAGGTCAGTGTGAGTCCTCTGAGTCTGGTAAGAGTTGTGCCCTTCTAGCTTTTCCTTCAGTGGTGACAAGGCATGTAAGACCCCAGTATTTGAGACCATTACATCCCCGACAGTCTCAGTTCACATCAGCCACGCATTATTAGAGGGAAAAGGGCTGGAAGCAGCATGATTGTCTGAGCCAAACCAGGTAAAAAAGGAAGAGAGTTCAAATGGTGGATGAGGGAGCTTCTGCCATGCTGTGCCACGTGTGCTGTGCCGTGCCTGTGGAAGGAGGGGAGCCTGGCTGATGCTGTCTGTCTCTTTCAGGGGGAGTTGCTGAGCCCGTGTCGATGTGATGGATCTGTGAAGTGCACGCACCAGCCATGTCTGATCAAATGGATTAGTGAGAGAGGCTGCTGGAGCTGTGAGCTGTGTTACTACAAGTATCACGTCATTGCCATAAGCACAAAGAACCCTCTGCAGGTAAAGGTACTAGAGACATTTCAAAGTCTATTTATTCTTGTTTCAATTTTTGTTTCTGGGAGCAACTGGCTTTTACCTGTGTGGGTTTTCCTTCCCTGTGCACAGGGATTCGTATGTCTGAGACACTTAGAAAGGATTTCCAGGGGCTGGTCCAAAGAGGCCCATGTTCTGCTCTGTGGCTCTAGGAGCATCCCTCAGGAGTCTGCACTTTCTGTCCTTGGCAATTCCTATTCACTTGCCTCCTGTTGAAAATTCGACAATAGTGCTATAACACCTCACAGCCATTCAAATGTGTTCATGCACTGGAGACCACAGGTGTGCCTGTCTCCAGGGCCAGGCAAGGACAGCATCATTGTGGGATTTACTGCAACAGAGCACACAGTCTGTGACTGAGCAGTTGAGACTCCACGTGTTTATAGTTGTGCCATTAATCCTGATCTCCTGCTGAGACTCTGCTGTGTTGGCGTGAGGGATGGAGGAGGCAGATGGAGGATTTTTAGAGCTCTCCTCTCTGATCTCACTACCTTTTTCACTATACTGCTCTCCCACAATCATGGCATGGCACAAGAGGTGTTGACTCTGATACTCTGCTTTCTTCAAGCCTGATTCTTGATGAACTTTTGCAGATGTGCTCACAACAGGTAAAGCACACCTTGATATGAGTGTCTGTGAAAGTCATCCAAGTACTCACATTCTTTCTTATCTGAAAAGCATTGTAATTGAATAAGTTGCAGTACAGACTAGTGATTTAAAACCAGAATTCAGAAACCTGTGTGACTATTAAAAATGGGATAAATTATCCTTAATAGCTATTGATTTATTGCGGGGGCAATGCCTGAAGATGCATTAATTGCTGCATGCCTTTGCTGAGCACCATTAGTGCCTCGGCCATAAGGAAGCACATTACATCCAGGCACTACTGCTTAATCAGCATCATCAGGACTGGAGAGGCATCGCAGTGGTTTAGAGACCGGGGTCATGTCTGTAGGGATTTCGGTCTGCCCAGTGCCTGGCCCTCTGCAGGTCGCTCTCTGCCAGGAGGCAAGGACAGTGCTGGTGATGGTGCCCAGTTGTACAGGGGAGTGGGGGAATTCAGACTCCTGCTCTCTCCTTCAAATTGCGATCTCTGTGTGGTTTTTAGCTAGGCCTGCGGTCACTTACCACATTGAGGAAAAAGGGACAACCCCTTAGGACTCGAGACTTAAATGAAGTAGTGAAATTAGGGGGCATCATGGGGAAACTTTGCTGAAGGGAAGGAAAAACCTGCCTGCTCTCTGAGAGTCCCTACAGCTTCTGATTCGATTTTCCATGAGCCATGGGCTGGACACATCAGTAATTTCTTCCCAAGCCTCAGACCCAGAATATTTCAATTTCTTGGCTCTAGTAACTCAGAGCAGATTGAAACACAGGAGGGGAGATGTGGACAAAGCAGCTTTTGTTTATTTCTGGAAAGCTGCTCCATGAGTGCCCTAATGCTTCCTGTGTCTCAGATTGGAGATGCAATGCTGAGCAGCATTGAAGGTTTGTGGGTACAAATTTGTGAGCATTTGTGTCTCCAGAACCACTTTTGATGAGTGACTTCCAAATGCTCTGCACTTTCAGGTGGCTCAGGGCAATGACTTTCTTCCTGTTCCTCACTCAACTAAAATTTGTTGGAGCTGCTCATGGACAAGCTCCCACCTCACACACAAATCTCAGACCCTGTGCAAAGCTTCTGTCTCTGGGCTCTCCTGTCAGAATGTGGCTCATCTGCTGGCCTTTGCCATGAACACAAAAACTGAGCGGCAGAAACAGCTGAGTTAGAGAGCTCAGCTCCAGGAGCAAGGGTCCCAGAGGACTGTGCAGATCCGGGGCTTGGAGCCTTCACATTGATGGCTTAGACTTCACAGCACTTCTCACAGAAGCACTGGGAAATTTGGAGGATGGGAAGAAGCAACTGAAGTGAAAAGCCACTTGGCCCCGAATAAATGCAGTGTGTAGAGCTGCAGCTGCGTGCCTGGGTGCCCTGTCTGGTGCCAGCACAGAGGCACTGCTGGGAAGCAGATGCTACACTGGCATTAATTTGCAAAACCCTGTGGGAAGTGGCTGATGTACCAGGCCAGGACTTCCTACCAGGACTAAGGGCTTGGGCCCCTATAACCCATCACAATGGGGACCCTTTTCTCACTCCCTCGTTTCTCAGTGACTCTCACCATCTGGTAAGATGCTGGGAAAAGGAGGCAGAGAGGAGACAGGAGTTAGGATGCCCCAACACTGTATTCCATAACAAGTCACAAGCATGTTCATAACAAGCATGTGCAGGTGGGAGGAGCATCCTTTCTGCTTGGTCTGCACTCTACTTGTGGATAACACAGGCCAGCTGGACATACAGGCATATCTCAAAGTCCCTGACTTTACTTCTCAGGGTCTGCTGGAACTTGGACCCAGCTTTATTCTTACAAGATCTCTGAATTTCTCAAGCACAGTTTTTGGAGGGCAAATGCTGTAGGAAGTCAAGGTCATCTGTTTTTTTCCAGACCAACCATAGCAAGGACCACACAAGCCTCATGTCCTTGTCAAATATAACCTGTTTGGGTGATGTTCTGAGCCTGGCTAGATTTTAGCCAGCAATATGGCCTACCTCTCATCTGATAGACTGCTGGGAAGCCAAATCCAGGCAGCTGGCAGACCCTGGGCTCCCTGAAGCATGTCCAATTGGTGTGAGCAGAGCAGCACATCCAGCACCCACATGTTCCCTGGGACCTGCATGTTTCTCTGCCCATTTTGACATCTGCTGCACATTTTTTGGAGTGCTTAGAAGCACAGCATGGGCCAGATGTGTCTGGAGACTCATGGTGTGGGCAGAGAAGTTACAGCCGGGTTCATGCATAATTAACACAGGCTCCTTCCAGCCTCCAGGCTATTACGATGTTTCATACCAAAGAGAGACCTTTAGTCTGCTATTTTGACAGAATTAATCTCTATAAATTAACCCACCCCACAGCCTGCTCCCTGGATTGCAGGCATTTAAGAGCAAAGGTCTTAAAGCAACAGTGATGCTAACCTGCTGAGCCTGGGGATTAAAGTTATTGGACAACATAGCAGGTGTCCTGCCAAGCAGCAGTCAGGCAGTGAATGAGCAAAAATATTCCATCAGCTGTGAGAAACCAGGAAATCCAGAGCTTTTGTCCATCCATCCATCCATCCATCCATCCATCCATCCATCCTCCATCCATCATCCATCCATCCATCCATCCATCCATCCATCCATCCATCCATCCATCCATCATCCATCCATCCATCCATTATCCATCCATCCTCCATCCATCATCCATCCATCCATCCATCCATCCATCCATCCATCCATCCATCCATCCATTATCCATCCATCCATCCATCCATCCATCCATCCATCCATCATCCATCCATCATCCATCCATCCATCCATCCATCCATCCATCCATCCATCCTCCATCCATCCATTCTCCTGCTCTCCAATTTGCCAGTCACCAAGACAGGAATTGTGGACTTGGAGGGTTTAAATGCCTCTCTCCATGGCAATACTTGTGTGAGGCCCATGATTTTAAAGAGACCCTGAAGACACAGGGGTTTAGAAGCACATGCTAGTACTGCCTGCACCCTGGTGCTGATACACAGTGGAGTAGATATCTGCCTCAATGGGCCTCTGAAGTGTGTTTAATCTATACAGCTCCTTTCTAGTCATCCTGAGCCACATCCACTCTGATGCTCTGATTTTAGCAAAGAGAAAATCTGTTTGAACCACCAACTGTTTGCAGTCTTGAGGAGTTCAACTCTTATTTACTGTTATCTCTGACTCTTCCTGCACTGTGGGCTGTTTCAGCTCCAAAGATCCCCAGTTATCCAGTGCTGGGGTTAGGATCTGATCTCTGCTCTCCTCTGGCTCCATTGTGTCCATGATGATGATCTTTTAGGAGCTGATGAGTGCTCTTACATGGCCTCTTCATCAGGACACTCACATCTCCAAGAATGGCTGAGTTCACAGGGTATTTGGACTTCAGCCTGAGATCCGGAGCTAAAAAGTTTGAGGCAAGTTTACTGATGTCTCCTGGTTGTCCCAGCCTGCTGAATCAGTTATGTTGAGCATGAGATTTTCTGGTCCCTGCTGAGCTTCAGCTGCACCCAAGCAATGGGTACAGTCACTGTAAGAGAGACTTCAGGGCCTGTGTGTTATGACAGGAATTTTCCAGGATGCCAGTGCTATAGCCTGAGTCTTACCAGATGCTGTGGCACATGGAGGAGGAGGGTTTTCATCATTGCACGTTTCCTTTACATGGTCCTACTGGGCCCTCCCTTCTCCTTGCTGCTTTTCTAGTAGCTGAATAAGCCACAGCATCTGTAAATGTACAGCAGGGAAGCTATGCCACAGCAGTGGCTTAATTTTGCTTGGTGAATTTATAAAAAAATAGCCATCTTCTAGAACATAATTGAGGAGGATGCTCAGGGTCTTGGGACAGCAGCAAGGGAAGAGCCACACCTAAGCAGTGCTGCAAATGATCCTCTCCAACCTTCTAGGAAAAACCTCCTCTTGCTTGTGACCCTGGGTCTGAGAATTAAATTGCTGACTAGCACAGCTCAGGATGTTAATGATGTGTATTAAGGGGACGTGTCAGATACAGCAATAAAAATAAACTGAACTGCCTGAGGCAGGCATGGAGGAGCTCTCAGGGGAGTGCAGGAAGGCTTTTCCAGCAAATGAGACTTCTTTGCAAGCTGCTGCAGTAAGACATAGATATCTTCTGCAAGCAATGTGTGCCTTGGATATGCTGGTGCTTGGGAACCTTTGTAGACTGCAGGTGCCAAAGAAAGGGAATTACAGATCAGGCCTTAAATACTGTAGTAATGACATTATTCATCTGTGTTACATTAGCAGGTTTTTGCTTACAAGCCTCTAACAGAAGCACTGAAGCAAACAGGGAAACAGGTTTGTGTCAAGTACAACTTGCAGGTTATGAAGCAGTGCAAGAGAACAAGTGACATGACTCAAAGGCACCAGTCTCAGCTTGGTCCCTGACGAAAGTCATCACAAATGTCAGACCTGAGCTCCTAAGAAGCCCCTTCTGAGGCATCTGGGTTGCAGAGCTTTGCAATTTGGGCAAAATAGGGAAACTTGGGGAAATTGGTCTGAGACAGAGTAGTGTTTTGCATCTGCAGACATGGGTGCTGTGCCAAAGCACTTGGCCCAGGGGGGTGGTAGCAGAGTACAGACAGCTCCAGACAGCTTCTCCAGAATAGTTTGGAAGGTTGGAGCACTTTTCCAGTGCAGGTGGCAGACCATCACAGAGAGCTGCTTGGGCACGTTCTGAAGCCATTGTGAGTCTGGAGCTCACAAAGCTGACCCTGTTATCCTGGAGGAGCCTTTAAAGCTTTTTGGTGTCACCAAGTCCTTAGTTCTGCTCTGTTCAGCACTGGCAGAGCATCTGTGGACCTTTCTACCTGCCCAAAGGTCACGTCCCTGACTGACAACCTGGGTGAGCTGAGTTGTTAAAGGTGCACTTCAGTGCAGCTCCGTGGCTACCAGGAGCTCAAGTCATTATCAGCTGAGGGAAGAAGAGATCAGCTTTAGGTCTTTTCCCACAAGGTGGGATTGCTTGGCACTGTGATCTTGCTAGATCTTGAACATTTGAGCTGGAGATTTGGAGGGAGGGGGCTGTGTCTGCTGCCAGGCATTCAGACAAAGAGCTTTGGGGGTTTCAGATGTGGCAGTAAAGGGACTCCAGAGTTGCTGAGACCTCTCTTTACAGCTCTAGTGGTGACCCAAGGATGATAGGGTCACCTGCCAAATCCCTGATCTGATGGCCATAATGAGGGTGGTAAGGGTTTTAGGAATAGGGGTGATTTTCTAAGAGCTGTTCTGTTAGGAAATCTGAAAGACACAGTGCTGTGATTGAGATGAGCTCCTAAGGTTACCAGTGCAGGGACACATCAAGCCCAGCTCCTGCAGCTGAAATTCATCAGCACATTCCACCTCTGAAGAGCTCTTGGACCTTTCTGTCTGAGCACTTATGGGGGTAACAGGCTCTGTCTTCTGTCTCATACTAAGATCTTCTATCTTATACACTAATATGTGTAGCAAAATGGAATTAAAAGATGAAAAAGAATGACTCTAGTTATTAGTGGCTCAAGCTAGATGTGGGATACTAAATTGGAGTTCTCAGGGTTGCCAGAGAGAAAAATACATTTATTGCTTCCACTTTATTTTTTAACTGTAAAATATTAAATTCTTCTGCAAGCTGGCTGTTTTCCCCAATGTTCAGCTTTGACCCATTTACTTCCTTGCTGGAGGGTAATCACACCCCAGTGCCACCTTCTGAACAGAGTCAGGACTGCTGCTGTGTGTGTCACTGTCACTTAGTGCCAGATGCAGGGGGAGAGGCTCCTACCCCCTGGCACAGCTGACAGAATTCAGGCTCTTCATTATCACCACAGAGAACGTCCCTGCAGCTGCTGACAGCTGAGCAGTGTCAGGCACTGTCTCTGCCTGTGTTTCAGCCTCTCTGTTCCCAGCCAAGGGGAGCAGGGTTTGAGGTCTGCACTCAGGTGTAACTCTCCTGTTCTCTGTCCCCATCCCTTTGACAGTGTATTTAGTGCTACACCTAGCCTCCCTTTCTCTGCAAAAGCCATGGTGTTGGTTGTACATGGCTTCTAGTTGTAGAAAACAGCTCCTTCTTCTCTTCCCTTCGTCTCTAATTGCTACCTTGGAAGGACCTGTTGCTACCAGAGGCCTTGCAGTGTGCCAGGCAGATGGTGAGGAGCCAGTCCATTACCTCCTCAAGAGAGAGAAATGATGCAGAATGATTTGGCTGGCACGGGAGCACGTGGGTCAGAGTGAGGGGCCTGCAGTAAAGCCTTCACATGCAGCACCAGGCTGTGCTCCCAGCACTCCCACTCCTTCCCAGTCAGCCACAGACAGTGGAAGGGGAGATGAGGTCTGGGGAAAACTGCAGGGGTGAAACTGCGACCCCATACACATAGCCAAGCTCCCTCCCCACCAGTGAATTTAGTCCTGGAGCTCTGGGCTAATGGCATTACTTGCAAATTTGTCCTACATTGCTTATGGTGCTGTTGAGAACAAAGCTAAAGAGCTGATGGGAGGATGGCAGAGCTGCTTATCCCACCCTCAGAAGCCAGATTTGTGATGGGTGCTGGGTGGCCTTTGCTCTGCTTTATGTCAGGAGAGGAGTTGCACCATTGTGCCTCTCCTGTGGACTCCAGCAGCCCTGCAGCATTGGCACTTCCAGGCTGTTCAGTGTGTGACCTTCTCAGTGGCACAAAGGGCCAGATGTGTGGCTGGATTTGGTGGACACATGGAGCAGGCTGGGCTGCGGCAGAGTGGGAATGGGCTGTTGAAAAGATTACTGAGTGTCTCCAGTTCTAAGTGTTTGCCTTTGGCTGGGTCAGCTGCTGGGGCAGATGGCAGGAAGGGGACTGGAGTAGCTGAGCCCGGGGAGGAGACTGGGTTTAACTGAGCCCAGTCCTGCTTCAGTGGGGAACAAGCTCGCTCTCTGCTCAGCAGCTCTGTGGCCATTTCTGTGGCCAACCACCAAATAAGCTGGTACTGCCCACCTCACTGATGCTGCACATCCATGGTAGACAATTTGAGGGCTGTCTGCCCTTGCAGGATGTTAGCCAAGGAGCAAGGCTGGCAGAGGCAGAGGCAGAGGCAGAGACAGAGGCAGAGACAGAGGCAGAGGAATCTCCTTCAGCTGCAACCCACAGACCTCAGCCTCTGGCTGAAACTCTCGTTTGTTCCTCTCCAAACACAGCCCTTTCCAGGGGAGTGCATTCAGTTCAGGCCTTTGGTCACTGGACTGGCAGCAGTGCCATGTGTGCTGTACCAGCACAAGTCACTTCTTGTCCTTCTCACCTTTCAGTCAGGGTTCAAAAGTCTTTGCAAAAAACATTGCAAACTCCTGGTTGGCCTGGGCATTAAAGAGATACTCAGTACTTGAACTCCCTTCTTGCTCTGCAGAAGGATGGGACAAGGACTGAGATCTCAAAAGACTGTCACATCATGGGGACACTGAATTTTGACTGAATCTAGGCTAAAGATTTTCAACTCCTCCAAATTCTCTGTACCTGCAGGAGGTTGAAGTCCATCTTTGTTTATCCTCCTGCCAGTCCCACTGCGATTTCAAGGGTATGTATCTCACAGCTAGAGGTGGCCTGTATACTTCAATGCCAGGACAGACTGTCTCTCCTCAGCCTGTTTACACACTTGATTTTTGATTTGCAAGAGATGCTATGGACCACATCCCCAAGTCTTGTTAAAGACACCAATTTCTGCTCTTGGTTTTATAGGACAGTTTTCTCAGCAGTGTAAATCTGAGTGGGGAGGTTTTATGCTGGATGACAGAGAGGAGCCCGGGTTCAGGATATTTATAACGTGGCTTATACAAAGCTATTTGACAAAGTGAATGGATTTGGAGGAGTTATTTCTATTTTTTTCTTTTTCTGAGGAAGAAGCATTGACGTTTACCTTGGAACACAACCTGAATATGTCATCATCTAAAGGCAGGGTGTCCTGACCACAAAAACTTGTGTTGTTTGTAGCAGGTTCTGTGGGATGTGCATTGCCACTGTGAGATCCTACCTCGGGCTGTGATCATGTCAGATCTCGCAAAGTGGCACAGAGCCCACTCATGTGAGGCCTTCAAAAGAAAGCTTGGTTCTTTGAGGTATTTATTCTTATGGTACTGGGATGCTCTGGCTGAGGATGCTGTCTGGCCTCTATTTGAGGGAGCAACTGCACTGGTTTGTGATGGTCATCACAGATCTGCTGTCATGGGGATGTTATTTTTGGTGTCCGTCCTGCCTTGCTCGGGTGGCTCTGCTTTCCTGGTGAGATGCAGGATTCCTTTCCATTGCCTCATCAGCAGTGCTGTCAAGAAACTCAAGGCCATGCACTACTGAACAACTGCCATGCTCCATCCCAGATGTGGATGGTGTAAAAGCACCTATGCCCATAGGTGCTCTTTGAGATCTCCAAAGCCACCACAATGGTGTAAAACAGTGATGTGCTCCAAGTAACTAATCTCTTCACTTTTGTCCTTCCTCCCTCCCTCTTGTCCTCTCCCTGTACAGTGGCAGGCCATCTCTCTGACAGTCATTGAGAAGGTTCAGATAGCAGCAGCCATCCTGGGTTCCCTCTTCCTCATCGCCAGTATCTCGTGGCTCATCTGGTCGACCTTCAGTCCTTCAGCCAAGTGGCAGCGCCAGGACCTGCTCTTCCAGATCTGCTATGGAATGTATGGCTTCATGGACATTGTCTGTATAGGTGGGTGATTGCATGTCACACCATGGCCACGTGGAGAGGAGTGGGACATGGCGTGGAGAGCCAGCCCGTACAATTTGGCTTGGATTAAGTATCCACAGATTTTCCTCCTCTTTGCTTTTATGGCCCATTTTTCACTGTTCTGTCAGCTCACCTGGGCAGCCCCAGAGTGTTTCCTTGGTTGGGGTGGCAGAGGGACCTGCAAAAACACCAGAGAGAAACAGATGCCTCTTTGGAGCAAAAAGTGGGTGGAGAGATCTAGGGAAGGCTGGGGAGTGTAAGGTTTCAGAGAAACTCCTTTCCTCCTGGAGTAGCTAATTTAGGGACTGCTCCACACCGGGAGGTCTCTCCACATGCAGCTCCTTGGCTCTCCAGCCATCTCTGCCAGGCAGGAGTGACTTCCCTTTCTTTGTCCCACCTTGGAGCTGCAAGTCCCAACCAGGTGACGGGCCAGCCTGGGGTCCTTGTCAGGTCTCTGGTACAGAGCAGCTCTTTGAAGGATGCAGTGCTTCACTCACACTGCACAAGCCTGGAGAGCACAGCAGCTGCTGGCAGCCTGACCCCAGTGAGTCTCCCTGGGACCAGTGCAGGTCTGCAGGCTGGAGGGACATAGCTTCCTGCTGCTACCTGCAGCACCAGCATACCAACACCTGCAGCAGCTCCTGAAACACTCTGGTGAACACCAGGCACCTCCAAATGTGCCCCTGAGCAGTGTCGACCCAAGGACAAGCCACGAGATAACTTGTCAGTTCAAGTGACCCTGATAGGAAGCAAAAAGGGAACCAGAGAGCTCCTCATGTCTGCCATCATTGTTATGAAATTAGAAGCCCTCCCAAACTCAGTGTGGAAAAGGCAGTCCTCTTCACTTGGTGGATATGTATATGTGTGGATAGAACCATTCCAGAGGGAACAACAGCCCCCATTCCAGCCCTCAGGAGAGGCAGGACAGAGCAGCAACTGGTGGAATTTGGGTGCAGAAGTAAAACAGACCCAGTGGCAGGGACAGAATTCTGGACTGCCCACCCTGGTATCCAGGTTCAAATGGCTCTTGGCTTCAGCAGCCTTCCAGCACAGGACTGGGGCCTGCCAACACCAAGGACAATTCCTCCCACTGTGCTAGCAATGAGATGTGAGCTTGGCCTGTAGAGATCATTCTGCTCCTTCATGAGGTGCTGGTGGAGCTACTCCATCTCCCCAGGAATAAAATGTGGCAAGGGGGGGTAAAAAGAGATGGGCAGCACCTACGTGTTGGCACAATAGGCACAATAGGTGATGTCCACTTGCTGGGGGAATTCAAGGTGGAAAAGAATGTTCCCTATGCATGTGTGGTGTGCACATGTGTCACCTTGTTGGCAGGGGACAGAAGTGGAGAGATCTGGCCTGGGCAGACATCAGTAACATGATTAACTGGCTTTGATAAAGCTTCAAGAGCTGAGGAGAGCTGATTAGCTCATCTGTTAATAGGAGCTAAATCTTCCCACATAGCAGAGAACAAACCATGCCAACCTTGAACTGAAGGGGAGCTGGGCAGACAGATCAGATTTTAGGTTCTTTTGTTTGTTTGTTTGTTTGTTTGTTTGTTCATTTAATTTTTGTAAGGATTTGGCCTCTATTTCTCTATGCCACCTTCTCTGAGGGAAATATAAGTTTATTTGCATCTCCACTGATGTCACCATTAAGCAAAATGCCCTAAGCTTTGACTTTTTTTTCCAGACAAAGAACAAGCAGACATCCCATTCCTAGGAACATTTCAGAGTCGTGACTTGGGGCATCCCCTTGTCTCATGTTCCTCCCTGCACAGCTGGCAGTCCTGGGGTGCCAGGCATGCTGGCTTTCCCACAAACTCAAAAGCCAGTGGGAAGCATTACAGATGCAGTGAGTTAACATGTCTGTACGTGGGTTCTCTTTCCCAGCACTCAGCAACTCTCCGGATCTGGCTCCACTTGGGCTGTGTGCAGCACGTCTGCCTGTGCTGCCAGGCAGCCCACCCATGCTCATCCAGGAGAGGGGATGTTCTGGAGCTCTGAGCTCTGTCTGCATTCCTGTAGAAAAGCTCATATGTGCATGCTGCCAGCCCTCTGCCCCTGCCACCCTGCAGTGTAAAACTTGACTGTATAGTGCATTTTTGCTCTTTGCAATCCCAGCTGTTGCTGCTGCTGCTGCTCCCAGCAGAGCAGAGGAAATGAGCTCTGAGCAGTATTAGCTGAGAGCATGTGTTCACTCTCCTCCCCACCACCTCCTCCTCCTCTGCCCAGTTCAAACTCAGTGACAAATGACATCTTCAGCAGGAGCTGTGACTCTCTGGCTGTTGATGTGGTCATCTCTCTTCTCTGAGTGACTTCTCCTCAGACCTGCAGATTTCAGGGGGCTGCACTAGCACTAGCCAGAAGGCTGGTCTGTCCCCACTGAGAGGCAAGGCAAAGCCAGGTCAGGCCAGGGGAAGGGACAGATCAAAGGGAATTCTTTCCTATGAACACAGGCTGAGAGTAATGGGGTTGTTCAGCCTGGAGAAGGGATACAGCTTTCCAGTACTTAAAGGGGCCTACAACAGAGATAGAGAGGAACTTAGGGCAAGGGCATGTAGTGATGGGACATAGGTCATGGCTTTAATTTGATAGAGAGTAGGGTTAGATATTAGCAAGAAATACTTTACTATGAGGTTGGTGAGGCACTTGATCACTTGGTGAGCAGGTTGCCCAGAGAAATTGTGGGTGCCCAATCCCTGGAAGTGTTCAAGGCCACACTGGACAGGGCTCTGAGCAACCTGGTGTAGTGGGAGGTGTCCCTGCTCAAGGCAGGTTGGAACAAGATGATCTTTAAGGTCCCTTCCAACCCAACCCATTCTTTGAACACCACAACTGAGGTGAATTCCTCATTCATTATAACTTTGTACAACTATGATGGATGCAGCAATGTATCCCTAGAAGGCTTGCAGTGAGTTCCTCACTGTAGAACAGCTTTTCTCCCTTTCTTCATCCTTCTTCCAAACCTTGCTGCCTCATGCAGGGTATTTTTATCACAAATGGTAAAAGGCAACTCGGGAGATTGAAAGTTCTGCTCCTGACTGCCAGCATGGCCCAAAGCCTCTTGTTATTCGTCCCTGGGTTTTAGTTCCACTTCTGCACGCTCAGGATTAAACCTCTCATGGATAATTACAGTGGCAATGGATCTTTAAATACTGGAGCATTGTCTGTGCAATTCAGTGTCTCCTCCTCTGCAGTAGAGCCCTTTTCCTCTTTTGTTACCTAGCCTGTAGGGTTGGTAGGAAAGATTTTGGAACTACGAAATGCTAAGTCATGGGGAAAGGGCAGGACATTAGGTGCACTCAGTTCTACCACACTTGTTTTTTCCAGCTAATGTAAGATGCTGTCTGTACATTTTTTGTAACAGGCTGGGCAGCCTTAGCTAGCAGAATGTGATACCATAGGTCCTACAGTAATTGTATGAATTCCAGTTGTTTCTTCCTCCATCTTGACCCCCAAGTTTTTCTTTCACTAGCAGAGGAGCAGAGGTTTGAAAGACAAGGTACTTACTGAAGAGCAGATGTGCTGACATAGAACTCCTCTGGAGTTCCTGCCAGTTTGCACTTCACTTGTACTTGATGTCTCGCACCCACTGGGTAGCCAGTGACTTGTCCAGGAGGCTGGTTTATACACCCTGTCACTGGAGGTGCTCAGCAAGACACTTCCTCTGGCACTGTGGAGTCTCAAAGCTGGAGAAGTCACCAACTCCACAGAGGCGTGACCAAAATCAGACAGGCAGTCAGCAACTGCCCAGCTGCTTTGTGTGATGTCCTCTCTACCAAGTCAGTAAGGGATTTAGGTAGCAATTTGCCAAGATAGAGATACCTGTGGCAATCTGCATGGGTAATCCCATGGCAGCATTGATCTTTCCAGTGTGGAGTCAAAGATGAGGGCATGAGTGCTTCCTTGCACATACAGCTCTCTCAGCACAGATCATTTGGTTGTTGTTATCCTCATTTGTTCTGAAATGGTCAGATGATCTCCAAGCTGAACTCTCAAATGTGTCTGTGTACTCAGAGACTGTTGATCCATGGAGCAAAATCCAGGGGTCTGGATTTGACCCTCAGTCGCTAACCTTCAGTAATATACTAGTTTTCTTTGGACTTTTCTAGATTCTAGCATGCCCCACAAAAACAGTTGGAAGGGACAGGAACCATTATCTACCTCTTCACCCATGATGAAAACAAAACCCACAACCAGTCTGTTCCTCATGACCGGTGGGACAGATGGTATGGCCCCAAGCCCCAGAAGCTGTGTCCATCTGGGCAAGATGGTCTTTCAACACTGTTCTCCCCCTTGCTCTCAGACAACTAAGAGGAGAGAAAGAAGTACTGGAAAAGATTACTTGGGATTTGTGGGAACTTCCAGTACTTCCAGATTTTTTTTAAGAACCTGTTAGAAAACATATGTCAAGAACAGGTTGCAGAAGATGATTCCAGTTTGTGAAGGAGGAACAAATTAAATGCTTCTTGATATCCAGCCAGCCTCTATGTCTTTGATTCTGATCTCTTTCATCTGTGCTATCTCTGGTCATGTCTGTAGGACAGATATGAGAGTTGGATTAAACTAGGAAATGGTGATGGTGCCAACATAGGTATTGCTCTGCTATGAAGTCATCTACAACACAGACATCTGAGATCAGGAACCAGGAAGGAAATGAGAAGTGAGGTGGGGACTGTTCATTAGATTAACTGTTCTCTCCATGGTCCAGGAGAGGTAAATCCAAGAGGTAAATCTCTCGCATAGCAAGAGATTAGCAGAAATGCAGTTACTGAAATGCACAGATAAATGGAATGAGTCTTCACAGGCCTCAGTTACTCAGTAGAGAGACTAGCAGCTTAGAGCTGGGCTGTAGATCCTGAGAGATACCTGCCTGTTAATTAAATGACAGTCCTTGGAGGGGGAAGGAGGGGTTTGCCTCTCTCTCTGTCACGGTGCAATTAGGGGAAGTCGACATTTGTAGAATAAGGTGTCATTTGG